GCACAATTGGACCAGTCGGAGTCACTACAAGGAGCTTGGTTGGTTGTACTTCTGAGTAACGCCCGAGCGACAGTAGTGTATGGATGTAGGAGGAGGGTCGGCGCCTCTCTGAGTCGAGATCGGATCATATGACGCATCTCTGTGTTAAGGAGAGGACCAAATGAGAAGAAAGCACATATTTGAAGCGACATATAATCCGGTATTCGGGAAAGGGAACTCTCATGGTACATGGTGGGAATGGGAGTCACGTTTGTGGAAGTGTCGCATTCATGGCCAGTGTGTCCTTGGTTTGACGCAGTAGAAGGAGCTTTGTCTGGCATATCAATTGTTGATGGGAGTGATCTATGCCTGCTGGTTACCCTTGGTTTGGGTCCTCGCTTACCGCGTCGTCGGGAATGCGTGCAGAGGTGATGCAAACGATAGCAGCGATAACAGCTCGCCCCAGGCCCCACTAAACAGCGGGCCTTGATGGAGTGACATCGATCGCAGGCAGAGGCAGGATCAGATGCCATGCGGAGAAGTTGGACGTACAATTGACAGACAGCTACACCGCTCAAAGAGAGCGAAGATCCAAGGACACCATGAATGAGAAAGACGCTATTCCACAATAAATATGGCTTCCGGCATGGTCACCTGAATCTAAGCACAGACTTAACTCACCAGCCGAAATGGCCAATAAGGCGCGAAAGCGAGCCGGTACAATTATCTGACAAATATTTCAAGTGCCGGCTTCCCATGTCTTGCCCCACATCACCCACTTCCAGAAGACATTCCGCTCCACGGCTGCTTTGTTCTCTTGCCTAATCAGATATCGTGCTCGGGAAAGGAGTGCCCACTCGACATGGCCTCGGTCCCGGAGTGTTATATATTATGTATGGCAATGATTGCCCACAAAACGACCGTATTTCCTATTCACCCACACCCTTCGCGCATCCTGCGATTTCGACAAAGCAAATAGTGGCTGCATCTAAAAATGGGCTCCCTTGATGGAAAAGTTCACTGGCAGGAAAAAGCTGCTAAGAAGCGACAAGAATGTGCCAGCAAGCTTCCACAAGGATGGAAATTCTCAGAGCAGTTCATGGCGGGTTTTCAAGCACCAATATCCAAACACAAAAACGATTTTATTCGAACTGAAGCAATTCGCAAGTCAGGGATTTTAACCGACCGGGAACTGAAAATCACTGAAAATTATACGGTTACCAGCCTGATTACTGCATTGGCAGACGGGACCCTGACATCAGCAGAGGTGACGCTGGCTTACTGCAAACGTGCCGCATTGGCTCAACAGTTGGTATGTGCTACAACGTCTAATCCGCATTTCTCCTTGCGCTTTGTCAACAACTCTACTCGATGCTCATTTTGCACAGGTGTCTTGCCTGACAGAAACTATGTTCCCAGAAGCACAGGAACGAGCCGAGTATCTGGACAAACTTCGGGCTCAAGGTAATCTTGCAGGTCCGCTTCATGGACTTCCCGTCAGCATCAAGGATAATTTCCATCATAAGGGGACGGAATCAACCATTGGAATGATCTCTTTCCTGGATGAGAAATCATCCGCCAACTCACCTCTTGTGGATATCCTGCTCGAGTTAGGGGCAGTCCTCTATGTGAAGACAAACATACCCCAGACAATGATGGTATGTTGATTGATCTTTTTGCCCACTCGACTGAGGGCTGATAGTTCCTTTCTTGCCAGACTACCGACTCCCATAACAATGTATTTGGCCGAACTCTCAACCCCTGGAACACCACCTTAGGGCCCGGTGGCTCCAGCGGCGGTGAAGGCGCTTTGATTGCTCTTCGGGGGGCTCCACTTGGCGTGGGAACTGATATCGGAGGTAATTCGGTTGATATAGAAAGACAAGTTCGTTTTGCTGATCGATAGCAGGTTCTGTGCGGATTCCTGCGCATTGCTGCGGACTTTATGGATTCAGACCCAGCGCTGCACGAGTGCCAAATGGTGGGATGCGTGTCTGCACAACTAGTGGCATGAAATTCATCCTTTCCTGTGCTGGTCCACTTTCGTCGGATCTTGACGGAATCGAAACTTTTTTCAGGTCTGTATTCGAAGCTCAACCCGCGCGCTATGACTCCACTATCATCGATATTCCTTGGAGACAAGTCCCTATCAAACCAACTCTGAGGATTGGAGTTGTCCCCGAATCTTCGATCTTCCCTCTTCACCCACCTATTCAAAGAGTACTAGCCGAGGCTATTCATTTGTTGGAAGCGCAGGGCCACCACATAATTTATCTCGAGGAAAAGGACTGCCGTGTCATGGAGGCGAATGAGATTGCGTGGAATTTCTTCACTCTGGACCAGGCTTCCCAGAAACATCTTGAATCAGCTGGAGAACCCCCAGTTCCTGCGATGTCCTATATGTTGAAACAGGGCGAGAAACTCAAACAGTTTTATAAACGTTCACTACCAGACATGACCAACCTTGATCGGTTGGACAAAGTGGCATTACTCAATACTCGCCGAGCAGACCTCCGTGAGGTGTACCGAAAGCTGTGGCTGCAACATAATCTTGACGTCTGCATTGCACCCCCCGCTCAGACGACGGCAGTGCCACATGACACGTTTGGTGTGGCGCCTTATACAACTCTGACGAACCTTTTGGATGTAGGTTACCTGTCACGCCGTTGTTTTGAACTGTGCATATCTGACCGTGACTTCCATCACAGTATCCATCCTGTATCCTACCATTTGGGAAAGTGGGCGAGTTGGATGCGAAGGAGAACTTTGAACTGGATGATAATCAACTTGGGGCCGAATGTGAGTATATAACTACAAAGATCCTTTCATTTATTGAGTCCAATTGGTTGACGTCCTTTCTAGACAACTTTGAGCAACTCGAAGGGGCGCCATGCTCCATTCAACTCTTTACCACGACCATGCGTGACGAAGAGTGCCTGCAGATTGCTAAGCAGATTGACCAGTGTCTCAAGAGCAAGAAATAGGAGGCACATGAGGTTTAAAGGGTCTTCTATGGTCACCCTAGTGTATCTGGTGCATCGTTATATATACCCAGTCCCGAGTATGTTTCACGATATTCTTCGTGTTCGAGATGGAAATGATCGACGCACGAATTCTCCTTTCATTCAAATTAGAATCCCTGCAGAATATAATCTGCGTTGCAGACCTGGTACATAGGCCACTGCTTCGAGAGAAATTCACTCTAGTTACAGTATGTGTGTGTGTGCGTGTGTGCGTGTGTGCGTTGTGTGCGTGTAATTCATTTACCCAACTCTAGCAAACCCACCCACAGTCATTAATTAGCACCTCCTTTACTATAGTTAGTTAACTAGTTACTAACTAGCCGAATGCTTAGCTCAGCCAGCCAACTAACCTGAGGTTGGAAAGGCCATCACGACATGTCCGAAAAAGCAAACTTGATTAGGGGTTGTAATCAGGCTGGAACCTGATTTCTCGGAAACAGCATCTGTCTTAACTATGGCCTCATCTCTTTTATTTTGTTTTCCACCCGTTGAATCCGCCTCCATAGTATCCAAAGCTTGAATGCTATTAGCTTCATTCTGAAACTAGGTCATAAAGAGCATATTTCAACTCGCTGGCATAGAGAAGCGATGAGGAGTGCAAACACACTAATACACAGGATTATCTTTGTTGAGTCAGCGTCCATGTTGACGTTGAAGGGCAGAGCGAAACAGAATTTCGCAGTTGGAGCCAAGACATGGAGGCAAAATTGTGTAGTTGAGCGAATGGAAGATAACGAGGACGTTAAATAGACATATAAGAGAGGCCGGGAGTTTTAATTATCAAGGGCACCAGTATGATTCAATAGTTACAGATAGTCTGAAGTATAGGGCTTGGGACCGTTGCCCAATTAGTCTTAGTCTCATAAGGACATGACAGAAATACAGTTATGACGAGCATGTGGGTAAATCTCAATGGCAGTAAAATCTCTAACTTAGCAAAAATAACCATGGTCTGGAACTGACAATTTCTGCGGACAAATTAATACGCAAAATTCATAACGTATTTCCCCGGTGAGCATCATCTCAAACAAACCTATACGAAACATGGTTATTTCATTTTATTTCTCTCGCATACGTGCTTAATAGAGTTGAATATGAGGTGGTCAGCTAATTAATATTTGATTGGGCACGTATTCTAACATATTGCAGTCTATACGGAAGCACCACCAATTCTCCCATCAAAACCACGCACAAGTGTGGCCTTTCCGTCATCACTTCGACTTATACTATACTGGACGGGTACAATGAATTACGCCATTTAGTTTACTCTGTCCAACTTTGGTTAGGGCTTTCTGCTCCTAGGCTTTCTGTCGAATAACCGAGAGCATTCTTGTATACTTAGCCACATGGACAGGTACATAGGATTACACTACACGAAAACAACACGATTCTGATCCGCAAAACCACCGACAATCGTGTGTTTCCGTTATCATCTTGTCATACACCAATGGGCATCGGACTGCTACTGTCACGGAATCTTCCGATTTAGATTTATTAAGTAGGACTAGAGCCACCAGTCGCTGTGCCTTCAAATGTATATAACTCATGCCTTCCCTCTAATAACCCCCCCCCCCCCCCCCCCAAAAAAAGAGAAGAAGAAGCAAAAAGAGAGATCTAGCAATGAGGTCTATACTATACTACGGCTAACGCCTCTTTTAGCTCGAATTAACCCAGACGGAGGTAGTATGCCAACTCGATACCATTGAGAACGATTGAGGCCGCTCCACAATATACTGTCCCAATGGCCACGGGATTCATTTGATATTAGTTAACCCAAAGCCCGTCTAATCAGGCCACACCGAATATAATATAACTAACTAGGTTGCAGCTTCGCTCTCCCCTTCCCTCCTTCGGTAGTGTCCGATCCGTATTCAACCTACACCATTAGAGCGACGTAGGGTATCAGATTCTACATAGCTATCCTACGTTTTGTAGGACTTCTAAAGAAAACAAAGAAAGGAGAGCCTAAGAATTACGTATATCAACACCATATTGACATCAAGGCTTATAGATAACAAAGATAACAAGATCACCTACACCCAAGTTGTCTTCCGCGGGATGTCCGTGCCCAACAAAACGTAGCCGAAGGAGCTCAATGTCCTTACTCGATAAGTCGTCTATCATTTCCCGGTTCTCCTACTTAGCCTTACGAAGAATTTGTAAATCCCTCGCATTCAATGATATCTTATAAGGTATATAGGTCATATTTCGCTATACCGTATACGGTGACTCCTTAGAAATGCTCTCTTCGTCTATATAGATGTTGTCTTTGATATCGTAACCGTAGTATTTCGTATGACCCTATAGGTAGTTCCCGAAGCTTTCCTAATCAAGCTAAATAGGACTAAGCGATTTATCCTAAATAGTAGATAGTTAAGAATATGACTTACCGATACGATACGAAGTATTAGATCCCGCTTTCCTAAAATTTTATCTTCGTCGCCGTAGGCTAGAAACTTATACTCCTTATCAAGTTCGATTCTACCGCTAAAAGCAAGTTCGTAGATAATTGTCCTATCGGTTACGCCCTCGTAAACCCGTTGTTCTACGTAGATTTTAGGATCTATATAGTCTTTATCTTGTTTTATAATAAACGCTATCAATCGAATACGCTGTTAACTAGCACTTATTACGCGGGAATCAATTACTTCCGTATCATCTATATCCTAATTAGCTTATAATGAGATATGTGGGTAGGATATAACCATATATACCAGAGAAAGAAACCTTTCTAAACCGACAGCCGGGGACTTCGTTACGCTCCGAATCTATGTCCTAGCTAGTACTGAAGATAATTATGGGAAATTTCGGGTCTTATCCGTAGGCCATAACTATCTCATTCAACGAGCCGCTACGCGTAGACTCGCCCCGAATATAGTCCGGAGCTTTCTCAGACTTATACCGAGCTCCATTCAAGGAATATAGTGTCGAATTCCTCTTGGTTACGCGGTCTCTAGTCGCAGAAGCCATTCTGTAAAGGTATCGGTCCGGTTCGTGGACAGTCGCTGGTTGTGGTGGGGACTTCATAGTATTTCCCTCAAGCGCTGCTCGTCCCCGGTTTTTTTGCAAGGGGTGACGGAGATTATGGGTTAAAAAGACACAATATTTTCTAAAATGGCCCCTTTTTCAGCTCCCAGGAATCTTTGTACTTTCGTCGAGGCGACTACTGCAGCACGCCTTCCTAGTCTAGGAGCGGGATGATTTGTGGACCCAGATTCGCAGACATGATAGGTGAGGTAGGTGCGCACAGGTGAGGCAAACTAATTAGTATAGTATATTCGGTTTATCCCAGGATTAGGATCCCCAGGAGCCACTAATAAACCGGAATTAACCGCCGATAGTCCGGTGGACCGTGGCTTTCGGTCGTATCATTTTCTTAATGGGCATTGCAAGTCATATTGTTTGTGAGAATTATCCAACATCTTCAAATGGTTTGATTCAAAATATCTTAAATCATTCTTGATCTGTATGATTTAATGTCTGGGAATTTTCGGCCAATCACATGTTCTAGATGCCCGCCCGCTAAGCTCTAGGGGTCTAGAAAAGATGAACTGGTTAGTTCACGCACTCCCCACGACATGAAACACCCAGTGCCTTGGCACATGCATGGCATTATCTGGTCAACAACGCCGCTCCAGGCTGGGGCAAATGACTTGATGATTTGAAAGACTTCAATCTACATATTGGTAAATAACCCCGGGATGAATCTTTCAAGACTGTCAGATATGGCAGTAACCGATGGAAACTTGATCTAATTATTCGTTTGGGCTGCGGTCGACTGCGGCGGAAATGGTGTCTTGCTAGTACATTGATTGCCCCTACTCAGCTAAGAGCAAAAAGTCGCAATACCGAAAAAAGCCCGGATTAAACTCCTTCAATCATGTACAGGTAGTACCTGGAGGTTCCGCAACTCCGATGGCCTGTCGACCGAGCAGTTTGGCTGATCTATCAGACGATTCCATCGACTTATCTCATCGCCATGTGCACATCTTCAGTTTGATCGGTTACGGAATCCCAAAGGTTCATTCATGGGCCTCAAACTCTTTGTTTTCTCGTTTCAAATACTGCATGGAGCTAGCACTAGGTAAGTTTACTACGACATCGCGCTAATGCAGTCGACTCGCGCTGTACAGGGATCCCAATAATTGGGCTGAAATGAGACTGGTACTTTTTCGAGTGCCATGTCTCAAGGTCAGTTTTATTTTCTCTCTTGCCTCTCTCTCTCACAAAATACCTTCCTGTCTCTATATTTTCTGAACCATTTCATTTACCAGAAAGAACACCACTACCATGTCGTCGCTACTTGATGAGAAAGCCATGGATCAGCTACAGTCTCAACAGTCAGAGTTGCTTGACAAAATTGATGAGTTGCGCGCTATTGGGGTTGGAGGGCTCGTAGAGTTGCCTCAAATCGTTGTCTGTGGCAGTCAGTCCAGCGGCAAAAGCTCCGTACTGGAGGCCATCTCCAGAGTGCGATTTCCAACTAAGAGCAATCTTTGCACTCGGTTCGCGACCGAGTTTGTTCTTCGTCGAGCCTCTGAAATCCGGATCAAAGTATCCATTGATCCCGGTGACTCCAGGAGCGACGTGGAGGAGCAACAAAAACTCCAGGCGTTCAGCTCAGAGGAAAGGGATATGAGTCCAGAGACCTTTTCCTCCAGCGACAATTTCAAAACGTTGATAGATCGCGCGAGAGAATGCATGGGACTTTCCAGTGTGAACTCTGAGTTTAGTGACGATGTGCTTAAAATCGAAATCTCGGGACCGGAACAGCCGGAGCTGACTCTGGTGGACCTTCCGGGTCTGTACTACTCCACCAGTAGTGAGCAAAGTGCTGAAGGGAAAGCCCTGGTTGAGAGGCTGACCGAAAGGTACATGAAACACTCCCGAAGCATCATTCTTGCTGTCATCAGTGCCAAGAACGACTACCACAATCAGAATATCTTGAATATAGCGCAGCGGTTTGATCCCAATTATGAGAGAGTTCTGGGAATTGTCACGCAACCTGATAACGCTGAAGCCGGTTCGGAGCAGGAGGAAACATATTTGCAGTTTATTCAAAACAAGAAAGTCAAGCTACAGCTCGGATGGCATGTGTTGCGCAACCGGTCCTTCGAAAAGCGAAATATTTCCGATGATGCACGAGATGCTCAGGAGAAAAGTTTCTTTGAGAACGGAAAATGGGCATCCCTTTCAAGAAATCAAGTTGGCATCGAGGCTCTAAGGACTCGCCTTAGCAAGATTTTGCTCCGTCATATCAGCCGGAATCTTCCTAGCCTCATCATGGATATTCAAGAAAGAATATTACGCAACGAGAAAGCACTCCGAAAAATGGGCGACCCGCGAGCAACGGTCCAGGACCAACGTCAGTTTCTCGTTGGGATTAGCAGCAGATTTGCACGTATCATAAATCAGGCCTTGAATGGATCCTACACCGATGACTTTTTCGGTGGATTCAAGGAGGGAATTGCCAACACAGATGAATTCTATTTTCGCCGACTACGTGCAGTCATTCGTGAGCTTAATGAACATTTTGCGGAAGCAATGAGTATCGGCGGATGTCGGCGAATGATTCTATTCGATGGAATGCCAGTACCAGGTGTGGATATTGAGCTTGAGAGGTCCAAGCCTTACATGCATGATTGGACGCCTCAATATGTCCTTCAATCCACCCTGGAGGAAGAAATCAAAGAGCAGGCGCTGAAAAGTCGAGGAATCGAACTACCCGGTAGCGCAAACCCACTGCTTGTAGGTAGTTTATTCCGGGATCAGTGTGAACCTTGGGAAACGATTGCTGAATCTCATGTGCTGAATGCGTGGGACTCGGTGCAATACTTTGTCCAACTGGTGCTGAAATACCTTACGGACGACCATACCCGCCCTTTACTAATTCGCCATCTTATCGGGCCGGAGTTAGAGAAGATGAAAGATTCTCTCTTCGAAAAGCTTAGCGAACTGGTTTCTTATTCTAAAAGTGGCCATCCACTACCCGTCGGAGAGACTTTTCTCTCCAAGGTCCTGAAATCTAGGACGAACCGGCAAGTGGCTATGTTGAAGCGGAATCTCGGCTTAACTGGATCGTTTTTCGGAGACAATAACCAAAAGACTTTCAGTGCTTCAGATTTAGAAAGAGCAGCCTCTCAGCTCCAGTCATCTAGTGATCAGTTTGCAACAGCTGAGATCATCGACCAAATGCAGGCCTACTACGAGGTGAGTTGGCTTTCCTCATCTGGAAACCATACTGCAATTCTCACGGAATATTCTTTTAGACTGCAATTATCACCTTTGTCGACAATGTTACCATATTGGCCATTGAAAATCGCCTTCTCTGCACGCTGGAGCATCTTTTCACCAGCAGAACTGTAGTTGGCATGGATGATCACCAAATTGAAGAAATTGCAGCTGAACCTCTGAGCATTCAAGTCGAGCGCAAACGGCTGAATGAAGAACTCAATAAACTACGCAAAGCAAAGCGTACTTTGAATGCTTTCAGTGTGGACGAACAATCGCTACGAAGTCCTCCTACCTTAGGTTGGTAGCGTTCCAGCCCCCGCAGGGTCTATGGAATTTCACGCTAATTGAAATATTTGTTCAACAGCACAGACGACCCATCGAGCCCTGACCCATACATCAGCACCAAAACCCAAGGATGTTCGACCCGCAGGTAAGCTATAAGGGGCTCAGCGCACACACGAGAGATTTATCGTCAATGGCAACTTACTAAAATAATGAAAGTGGCATCTTCGGCCAGTGGTGTAAAGTCGAACAAACAGGCTGCTTCCTTTTCTCATAGTGGCTCGGCGGAGAAATTCCAGCAAAGGCCAAGCATTGGCTTATTTGGGCAATCTACGACTGGTATGTGGCACTCACATAGCACCATGTCAATGTTTTGAATTTGCTGACCGAGCGATCATGGCATAGGCACCCCATTGAATCTGTTCGGTCCACCACAAACAAGAAATGATTCCCACAGGAACGGTTCTCAGTTCGGAGGAAATGGTACATCGAGCCAGAACGGCCAAGTCTCCGGTTCGTCGTCGTCTCCATTGGGAAGTTCCATCCACTCAACTCCTACGAAGAACCAGAATCACCACTTTGACGCTGCAAAGCTGCCGACAACGTTTGGACCCGCGTTGGGGTAGGTAGGATAGTCCGATAACGCGGCAAAAGAATTGTTTCTGACGTAGTTCCCTACATAGGTGCTGTAAGAAAGATCCCGTTACAAGGGTAACCAATTGCTATCAAAGCATTTGCACTATTCATCCATATAGCGGATATTCTCCAGAGGTATGTACACCTTCTGTAAAGCTAGTCTCATAGAAGGGATTCCTCAAGTTCGTCTCACTCATGTCCGCTTCACTAGGAGCTTCGATTCGGGGACTACACACGAAGAAACAACGGCATGCTGGGTCACCATTTGGCTTATTGAGTGTATACTGGCTTAATCATTATTGTTTATGGTTGTTTGTCTAAAAAGAAGTCATGGAGATACGATACAGATGGAGATCAATACAGGAAGCACTGTATATATTGGGTTGGACGAAGAGGAGAGGGAGAGAGAGAGAGAGGGCAGGCAGACTATCTGGGTTCTAGTTAACGATTCGGTAAGCGAGATGGCCACCCAACACGATCTATTGAATATAAATACATTATCTCAACTAAACGCCATTAAATTAAATTAACTAAAATCATGATCTATCTGGACTTGTCTCTCTCCTATGCCCTGGCTGCCTATATATTCCATATGTGGTCCGGCCCGGGGAGGTGGTTTTAAACCTTCCGAAACCCGCTTACGATAGTTATTACCCGCGTAAATCAGGCATTAAATGACTCTAAACGTAGCTCACGAACCTCATAAACTAAGATATCCTCTTCGTGGACTATTGCTCTGGTAGGTCGGGTACGCTTTTACATTCTGCTTCTCGTTAGCGGCGCATAATTCCTCATTTTCTTTAGCGAGTAAGATATCACCTTATATTATAAGATAGAAGCCTTTCACAAGCTGATTTAATACACGATCTAACGGGCTAGGTAGGCTTCGTAGGCTTCGAGATCTTATACGAAGTAAAGCTTTAATTGACGAAGCCTACCGATATAGTTCTTTATAAAATGGGTTTTAGGGGGAGATTCCGTCTTATAGTATGATTGTATTTTTTTATAGTTTTTATCGAACCTTAGGTTCAAATAACTTCTATAACGTAATCGGTAAGCGAGTGGATCACGCAAGCGAGTGGATCAGACAACGCAAAACGTGTCCATGTAACTAGCACTTAGTTAATTCAACCACCCACTATGCCACCAATTCGCTCTCGATCCGCTAGCAATTCAGCAGAGCAAGAGGGCAGGATCTTATTAGCTATCTAGGCTTTTCAAAATAAAGAAATCTCTTCAAAAATGTATTCTCTCTATAGATTCTCGTAGAGCTGCCCCCCGGCCCTCAACTATACGAGAAATGGCGAATATTCTCCTCGAAAAGCGCGGAACTACCCCGGTTCTTTCGGTCAGTAATAAATAGGTTTATAATTTTGTAAACCGGCACCCTCTTCTTTCCTCCCGGTTCTCGAGACGTTATAATTACGAGCGTGCGAAATGCGAAGACCCGAAAGTTATAGGGGAGTGGTTTAACTTGGTTTAAAAAACGATCCTTTAATTTAGAATCGACTCCGATAATGTTTATAACTTTGATAAGACCGGTTTCGTAATAGGGTTAACGGCAACCGCGAAGGTTATAACGAGGAGTAAATACTACGGTCGACGAGTACTTTTATAACCTAGAAATCGTAAGTAGGTAACTACGATTTAAGTATACGAATGCTTCTAGGTAGGCCCTTCCTCCGTATATGATTTTTAAAGGCAAAGTCTTTATCGAATCTTGGTTTGATAGCCTCCCGGAGGATTAGCGATTCGAAGTTAGTCCTAATAGTTAGACCTCGGATAAAATTAGACTTCGCTAGCTTAAAAAGCTCTTTATTCCTACTACTTCTTCGCGTACTAAGGGGGGGGGGGTATCGGCTTTTGATACTCGACGGCTATAGAAGTTATTTAACCCCGAGGTTTAATAAAATCTACGAGGAAAATAAGGTAATACCAATCTATATACCTCCGTACTCCTCTTACCTTTTATAGCCTCTCGATATCGGCTATTTTACGGTATTAAAACGTACGTACGGCCGGCTAGTTAAATCAAAAATGCGGGTTAGGATAAATCATATTGACAAACTTGATTTCCTCGAAGCGTACCCCTTCGCACGAATTAAAGCTTTTAAATCGGAGACTATTAAAGATAGCTTCGGAGCAGCAGGTTTAGTCCCTTTTTTACCGGAGAGAGTGATTTCAAAGCTTAATATTTAGCTTCGAACCCTAACCCCCCCTTCCAAGCCGGGGTAGCGATTGGGACCTAAAAACGCCTTCGAACTATATACAATTGCAAAAGCAAGCTTCGTCAATTAAAGCATTGCTTCGTACGAGATCAAGGAGCCCTCTGAGTCCGTTGAATAGCGCGATAAAACAGGTTTTAAAAGCCTACCAAATCACTATGCAATCTGCGGCTTTACTTGAGAAAGAAGTGAGCGAATTACGCGCCGCAAACGAGAAACAGAAGCAAAATCGAACCCTATCTACAAGGACGATAGTCCACGAAGGGGATCTCTCGGTTCAGGAGGTTCGTGAGCTACGTTCAGAGCCATTTGAGGCCCAAGTAGCGCGTATCAACAACTATCGTGAGCAGGTTTCGGAAGATTTAAACCCACCTCCCCGAGCTAGAAGAGCATGTGGAATATGTAGGCAGCTAGGGCATAGGAGAGAGACATGTCCAGATAGATAATGAGTTTAGTTAATTTAATTTAATGGCGTTTTGGTTGAGATAGATGCATTTGAAATTAGTAGGTTGGGTTTACTGATCCAACTCGCTTGCGTGATCCACTCGCTTACCGGTTACGTTAGCCGTCGAGTATTAAAAGCCAATAATACCCCCTCTTTCTAAGCTAACGAAGTCTAATTTTATCGGAGGTCAAGTTATCAATTCGGACTAACTTCGAAACGCTAATCGTCCAGGAGGCTATCGAACTAGGATTTAACAAAGTCTTTACCTTTAAAATTCAATATAGAGGAAGAGCCTACCTAGGAGTATTCGTATTAAATCGGCTACAATGGGAATTTAGCGGCGGTTTATCGAGGCTCTGACTGTATTAAAGCATTCGATATATTTATATAAAGCCCCCTCCTATATAGGAGTAAGTTCCCTACTATTAGATTGTCGTTAAAAAAGCGATTTTCCACCTTTCTATCTTTATTGAAGCCGGCTCTTAGCAACCGCGAATTCTCGCGTAGTTTTTGCAATATTAGGTTTACATTGCTTAGAGAGAGAGTCTATTGCGTTTTCAATCTAGATCTCTATATCTTTATTGGTTTTGGGTATAGTGTGTAGCGTGGTAGGGGATCAATATAAAAATATTAAATAAAAAGAAATCCTACGTTTGGGTGGCGGACCCTCGCAAGCGAGGGTCCGTGTTTCCTTTTTCATAAAAATTACAGGGGCCGGGTATAGGTAACAGAACTCCTCTCTTTGTACTCGTCGCCGTCGTCGCAATCACCTCTAACTTTCTATTGACTGGCTGCTTACTTCCTATCAACGCTAACACTATTTTCACAAGGAACAGTAATGGACAACGACTCAGGGCTTTTCATGCCCCATAAACCCTCCTCTATCGGCGACTGAACAAACCAAGTTCGGCACCACCCTAGGATACATTGTCTACGCTACCCTTCCACTAGGGTGTTCACGTTAAAGAGGCTGACCATCTCGATATACTTTTCCTATCGCTCCCCCGCTCTTATATATCGCAGTGCTTACTTAGTGCTGGCGAAGAAAACAGATTCTGTAATGTCATATGACGGACTAGTGCGACGTTGTGGCTGAGTAAAGAGGGTCGGATCGAGGTGCAGTTAGTATAAGGGAGGCCATAGAGAAAGAAGAAAAGGTGTTAGTGTTTGGGTAGCCGACGGATAGAGTGGGTATGTGAATGTTGAGGTTTCGGAGGGCCAGGCAACTGCTAACCCATTTTGGGAGATAGCTTTAGCGATAAATATAGAGGAGACGATACCTATAATGAGAGAGTATAGAACTACATTTGTTAAAGATATCACGTTTATAGAGGAAATTTATAATTGATGACCAACTACGCTTTTAATGCCTACAAGTCTTAGGATAAGTACTTGCGGAGAGGAAGTTCAATACCTAGGGGTGGCAGGTGGATACTGAGGACCGCATCTTTGCCAAATTCTCCCTCTGGTCGTTGCAGGGAGCTACTATCACAGCGGAGGTAGACTTACGATTGGCTTTTGCTGATCACCAGCGAGGAGATCCTGTGAACTCGGTCAGGCGAGGGGGCGTCAATGCTGATCTACATGCTAATCCGAGAAACCGAGCATCACAGTTTCGCCGACTTGCTTCGGAATGGGTGAGCAAACAGAAGCGAGAAGTGAGAATATAGTGATACTGTGATAGTGGCTGACGGTTGGTTCCTTGTATAATGTAATGGACGCTAGAGCCTCCGGCAGGACCCTAGTATTCGGCATACGGTGATTGTGATATAGCAACTACTCTTGGGGTGAATCCGTTATAGCTGGCCGGTAGATCCGGTTTTACTTGCTCTGATAAGCGTGTTTGATCAATAGGGGCTCCTAGAGGCCATATCTATGTCGAGAGTGCTAGGCTCAAGTTTGTCAAACTGTAATCCGATATAAAATTTCCAAATGTCTGGCCATAAATTTCGACCATGTAGTCCAACCTTAATATACGACAATACATAGCAATCGCGAACAGACAGTATTGGAACGCTGGGAGAAATTGTATTGACAAAGAGTGGAGAGGTGGAATGGATACTTTCCTCACTGTCCGGTGCCCGGCTTGTCCAGGCCGGGACTATTCATCAGGTTATCGATTCCAAGGCCACTGAGAAGACTACGAACAAGTCCACCAAGGCCAAGTCCACTCAGGAGATTATTAACAAGACCCAGAACACCACTTAGAAGCAAGCCAACTGCCGCAATAATTTGGAAAGTGGTTCGGATAGCAATGTCCACAGCGGGTTGAGTTTCTTCTTTGCATGGGGCATATTGCGATTCTATGACGGCCATTGTCAATGGTAGTCGTCACAATCTGGGTGAGCTGTTTCGTAAGCTCTGCTAGCTGATATTCTTCAGGTGTCGTCTCGTGCGAAGCACTGTGGGCTTTTGCAGACGCAGCGATGGGCCCATCGGGATCGAGCGCCCTGATAGTGCTTTTACACTCCAGTGGCATGTTTCCGACCTCTTCAATTAGAGGTTTGACAACCTGGACTAGTTTCTCCTCATCCAACTCCTCACGTGATGTACGATCGGCTCGTTCAAGATGCTATTTTATGTTGGTTATATCCACCGAGACAATTCGAAAGAGGCTTACCTCTGTGATCTGTTTGCAGAGCGGCTCCACTGAATCAAGTGTTTGCTGTATAACGGTCGAGATCCTCCTCGCTAATTCTCGGTTATGTTGCTCTTTGGCCTGCTGCTCAGCCTCCATGGGTGATATTTCGGGCTTGGGCTCTGCGTCTGGTAGGCTCTCCTCCGGCGTGCACTCGCCAATTTGATTTCCATCGTCGTCAAAGATAAAGCCACTATCATTTACCCTCTTCCCTATCAAGGCTTTGGGGTTGCCCATAGTGAGCCTGCCTAACAGGTTACCATCTTCGTCGCGGACCTCGCCATCTCGGTTGACCTTTCGGCCAGTCATCGGGTTGATATCACGTTGCTTTTCTTCAGGGGTCCATCGCTCTGCGCGACCGATGACATTGCCCACTTTGTCCACAATTTCACCATCTTCATCCACCGCACGATCAACGAGTCTTGTTGGTTCCCCGTCAACTAGCCTACCGACCACTTCCTTTTCTGGAGTGATCACATATCCTTCCTTTGTTGTAGTCAAGGAATTGACCCCATAAAATACCCCTTCAAGTTGCTCTCGCTCTTTAGCAGGGATCAGTTCAGCATTGCCTAGCACTTTCCCATCATCACTCCAGATTCGACCTTCGCCGTCCACCTTCTTACCATTCAGCTTCTTGGGATTTCCTGAAGCAAGCCGCCCAAATACAGCGCCAGTTTCGTCGACGATGTTCCCAAACTTGTTTACTGTCATCCCATCAAGTTGGGACAGGTCTTCTTCTGGTTCTTCGGAATGTTCGGAAGGTGTGTATGGCTCGGCGCGTCCTATCACGTTGCCACGCTTATCCATGATATCTCCATCATCATCCACAGCTTTACCTCGGAATTCATTAGGGTCTCCGTCAATGAGCCTGCCAACAACAACGCCTTCCTCGGTCTCAACAAGGCCATCTTGTCTGACAGTCAGATCACCAAGGCCGCTAAAAGGAGGTGGCACCTCACGCTCCTCTTCTGGGACCAGCTCAACCGGTCCAATAACCTCGCCATTATACCCGAGCAGCTGACCTTCCTGATCGATGGCTCTACCGGCAACCCTGTTCAAGTCCCCTTCCGTTACACGGCCTAATACCGCGCCGTCGTATCCAATAACAAACCCTAGCTTGTTAGGCGAGAGACCTTCCAATAAAGAGAAGGCGACCTCTTCTGCCTCGGGCTCCGGCTCTTCCAGGGGATCGGCGTGTCCAAGACCAGCAACTGGAGCTGTCGAGCAAGTGACAGAGACTGAAGAGGTAAAGCCTCAGCCCACAAAGAACGATCAATTAAAGTTGAGGTTGGACTTAAACCTGGATGTGGAAGTTGAATTGAAAGCCAAGATCAGAAGAGACCTAACAGTGCAACTATTGTATGTGTCGATTTTCTATCGTCGGCTGACTATACTTCCAGGATTGCTGACTGTATGGTACAGACAATGATACCTCCTCGTTTGTCGCCCTTCAACGCAATCTTTGGCAAAGCTAGGAAGGTAGTATAGACGGGAATTTTATTATTTGAAATAGTAAAAGGTCTTGGTATGCGCAAATTTCTGGATTCCGATAATATTTTTATTTGGCTGTACGGACCATGATGACTAACTGTAATATGCACTTTTGTATGGTATGTCTGGTACCCAATGTCACATGATGTTTCTGGTATATTACCTGGTTTCTACCATGTATTCGGACTTGGTATTCGACATATTACAATAAGGAATAGGAAACATTTAGAAATTCTAGTGAATTTCATTAAGTAGACAACAGTCTCCACTCAGCGCATCAAACTCTATGATTTACTAGCAATTACCACCAACTGGTGACCTGGTGTCCTGGCGAGCAAGACGCCTAGTGTGCAAAAGTCTGTCGCATCGTCTCATTCTTCCGTGCAAAGCCCTTGCCGCCAAAACCTCGAGGGCAACCTTCAATCAGGCAAAAGTGACGACGATTATGAGGGTGCACATTGGCATGAGAACTATATGAGGTAAGGTGATTGTCTTGAATGTTCTTTCGTGCCTTCCTTACCTCAGTAAGTATCGAGTCTGGAAAGGTGGAGCGGTACCTCTTCTTTCTGTTGCCCACACTTATTGCCCGCATTTCAATTTGTATTTCTAATATTGATTACCTAAGCCTTCACGTTCCTAGGATCATATTCGACCCCTGTCAGAGATCGAGCATATATGTCGCTGACCAAACATTGTGCCTTTTTGGCTAGATGGCGTAGTGGTAAAACCCAAGCATCCATGAACCGTCACACTACGTAAAGTTCCTAGAGGCAACTGTCAGGGATATACATGAAGCATACGGAACGGATGGAGATATGATCTACGCGGGACCCACATGGTGTATATGGGTTCCCCTGAACGCGAGGAAGCTACCTTTCTTTTGCTTCCTCGCGCTACGTCTTGTATCTAGAGATGACTATAGCTTTTCTTAATATTGATTATCCATCTACGAAACACAGTCCTCATCTACGTATACGTGAGACCTTCACAGCAACCACTGGTCATCCCAGAATCACTTCCGTTGATCCTGGGATCGGTATTTCCCTCATTTTCATTTTGCTGTACGCATACTAGCCCTGGGGGCTCTAGTCCATCCTAGGGGCACTTTTCTCGAGCCTGGGGGCCCACAGTTTACCTCTAGGAAGGGCTTGAGCTTCCAGGAGCAGTGAAGCTCCCAGACCGGCCTATACGTCCCTGAAGTCGATAGGGCCTGTGTATGAAAATGCCTCTCAAATTTCTTGATTCGTCCTGGAAGGAAGTCGATCCCAGAGACAGCCCCATTGGCTCCAGGAACGTACAAGCCGACCCTGGGAGCTTTATTACTCCTTGAACCTCAAGTGCGTACTCAGAGAAATGAGATATAGGTCTCGTGAATGAAATCGCGAAACTGCCTGGGGTTTCTTCGTTGGTATTATTTAGAATCATCACAAAGAGGATAGCGACCCCAGAGACTCTTCAGTCGATCCTCGGAGGACCTGCGGTTGCCTCTGGGAATGGCCAGTACTAGACGTGATTGGCTTATTTTTACTCCCAGCTCCACTTTGGAGTGCCATAACCTAGTCTCCATACAATGATCTGCGCTAATGTGCATTGACAGGGAAACCCCGATCAGCCTCTATTCCTATTCTGTACTAGTTTGAGCTTTTAGGCCTCGGAGAGCCTGTTGGTGTCGTCTCCCTAGAGACCATCTGAGTAACAACTACTGTATTGTGGACACACACATTGATGATTCTCCGTTTCCGGGTGCTTTCCCTTATTATTCGGTCGCACAGTCCCTGTATGTGGCAAGCCGTTTCGTGCCGCCAGGGAATACCTTGAAACTGCTAAGCGGCCAAAGGCATGCTTTCAATGCTTCGCAAGTGAAGGGCTTCCGGACAAGGTTCGCTTTCAGATGTTTCATGACCCCGGGTGTGTTACGCGCCACTTCGATGCTATTCATCTTAAAGAAGAACCACTCAAATGCAACTGGTGTGAAGTAGGCTTGCTACATCGAATGGCTTTCCAGCGCCATGCTTCTGATGTGCATCGCGTGCGGAGTCGCTGGTGATGCTCGAATCCGATGCAGGGGCTTTAAAAACAAGAATAGACCGGCTATGAATCGACGAAGCCATTGACTCGGTATCTGTTTACTTCCAATTTGGAATAGAATCGCATTTGCTATATCCAGCGAGAATATAGACCAGAGAAGTTTCATACGAATCCCGCGCGCGAGGAGAACGAGCACGAGCAGCAGGAAAATGAAGTAAATGTCCGTTTTATGCAACTCTCATGCTGCTTACTTTAGTGAAGAAAGCGAAAGCGAAAGCATAAGTTCAATTTGGTTTCGGTTAAATACATCCACGCGTAAATATGTGATTGTCCCAACGAGATAATTAGAGAGAATAGTACCCCCTACTCACCCAAAAGTCGATGTGCTTTTGCAATAACTCATGATCCAAAGGAACATATTTGATATCCGGCCGATCTGCCAGAGCCTTGACAGTGTTTTGGGTCTCATAGACAGGAGTATACATGCTTGTCTGCATCCGAGTCAAGTCCTCCAAAATTGGTTCCTGCAGCATGGGAATCATGGGTTCCAATGGATTCCCTGGAGTGTTTTGAATCATATCAATCCATTCCTGGTATGAAACTTCCTTGACTGGATATCCAGCTTGGTTAATCAAGCTGCATGTCTTCTCTATACTCACCGACTGTGCTACATCCGGGGAGACGAGATGGAATGATCGGCCGAGACTCTCAGTCTTGGATGCAATATGTAGAATGGCCGAGCAGACGAATTCGACTGTCACATACTCTAGTCGCTGGTGAGGAAGATGGGGGAACTGGCGACTTTGAATGCACCCCACGATCAGCCGTGCAAAGAAATCATCTGCGTTTCCATAGCCCCGTGAACTGTCCCCAATCACGAATCCTGGTCGATAGATGGTCGCAGGTAAGCCACGGTCCCGCGCCCTCTGGACCATCTCATCTGCCACCCACTGACTCTGCGAGTATCCCATGTCGTAAGACAATGATTCCAGATGTGGTTTGAGCGGGGCATCTTCGAAGACTCGCTCCGTCTTGTTTATAAGACCAGTTACATTCCACGCGTCAATCGAGGAGACATAATGCAGTGCCTTGCGTCGGCCCAGTGTGGTGAGTCGGATAATATTCCGTGTGCCAACAATATTGGGTTCATAAAGAGTTTCGTAAGGTTCACACCAGTTCACTCGCGCACCAATGTGGAAGATTACGCTCGCCCAGTTGCTGATCCAGTTGAACTTATCCTCTCCCAGACCTAGAGTGACATCTGTTAGGTCTCCATCAAGAGCGATGATCTTTTGGGTGCTCTCCAGCCTGCCATCCCAAAGGTCATATTTCTCCAACGCTTCCTGAATGCGATCATTTGCCGTGAGATTGCCACGGCTTCGGGCTAAACAGGCAACCTTCTTCACACTAGGCATGGACAGAAGTTGATGCAGTAAGTATGCGCCGACAAACCCGGTCGCTCCTGTGAGGAAAACGTGTCCCTCTTTGGTAGATTGCCAATCTGGGGGAGAGACTAGATCATCCGATAGATGGGAGTCTTGTACCCACCGCGTTGTCTGGGCAGCATCAGTGCTACCTTCGTCGGAGCTTTGAAGGAGAGCTGTAAGACTCTCCAGGGTAGGGCTTGCATGCAGTTGTGCCAGCGTCACAACCTTCCCACTGTGGTGTTTGATCGTCCCTACTAGCTGGGCAGACTGCAGCGAAGTGACTCCCAGAGCGAATATATTCATATTGGGATCGACGTGTGACACATTCAACAATTCTTGGAGATGCGATTGGAGCCAGTCGTTTTGGCTTTCCATTTGTGGAGCTTGCCAGGCTTCATGTTCCTCTGTCTTTGGTGCATTTTGTAAATCGCGAACCAGAGAATTATTGTCAACCTTGCCGTTGAATGAAAGCGGAAATTTCTGGACACTTTGGATCGAGCTGGGGACCATGTAATAAGGCAGATGTTCCTTTGCCCAATCGGTAATCCCGGAGAGCTGAACTTCCGTTCCACCTTCAATTGGAATTACATAGGCCGCCAGAGTTTCCGAGTGCTCCTGCTTGTGTTGGAGAACGACACACGATGCCACTTGCGGGTGCCTCTCTAGAGTACGCTCGATATCGCCCAGTTCCACTCGATGTCCAGAGCATTTGACCTGTTTGTCTGCTCGGCCAATATAATCCAAAGTACCGGCTGAGTCTTTCCATTGTGCCAGGTCCCCAGTACGGTACAGGCGGATGGATGGCCCATCGTCCTCTCCTAGTGTGGCGGTATTGACATGAATAAACTGCTTCTCGGTCTCTTCTGGTCGGTTCAGATATCCCGCTGCCAGCTGGGGTCCAGCAACACATAACTCCCCAGTCTGATGTGTGCCGGTGATATTCCTGAGCTGTTCGTCCAACAGATAAACTTTGGATTCTCCGAATGCTCGTCCGATGCTGATGCGAGGATTTTGTGTCTCCTCTAGGGTGACCCGGCATGTTGTTACAAATATAGATGTCTCCGTCGGACCGTATTCGTTGTACAGATTTGCTGGTGGGCCGTTGATGAGCACCTTCTTCATTGCATTAACATTCATGGCCTCGCCTCCCACAAGGACATGGTGCAGACCACGGAACGCGTTGGGCACATTCAAGGCAATGACATTGAAAAGGGCTGTTGGTATAATCATCACTGTCACCTTTCTGTTTTCCAGAAAGTCACTGAGAGCAAATGGATCTGTGACAATCACTTTGGGGACTTGGATGACTGTCGCCCCAGCAAGTAGCGACGCCCAAACCTCAAAGAGGGCGAAATCAAACCCCGGGCTGATGAATCCAGCCATGCGGTCAGATGGACCCAACAGTGTAGCCGGTTCAGAGGCTAGGACATGGAGAATACCGCAAGCCAGGACCTGAATGGGTTTCGGCTGTCCCGTGGAGCCAGAGGTGAAGAAAATATGGCTCCGATGGGTTTCCGGGCATCCTGCCTGGACGTGAATTGGACTGGTCTCATTCAAAGTGATGTTCTCCACAGTTGCTTCTTCAACACGGATAACTTCAAAGTCTGACACCCGATCCATGAGGGCTTCGTTGGTAATGACGAAGCGGGACTTGATATCGTGTAGCATGGCCACCAGGCGGAGAGAAGGCATGGATGGAGTGATGGGAACACAGGTCCCTCCAGCTCGGAGGACAGCAACTTGCGAGATGATCTGTTGATAACCAGAGTCAAGTAAGATACAAACGGGCTCTGCGAGCTCGATTGACCTTCCACGCAATTTCTTAGCAAGTACATCAGCTCGTGCAATGAGCTCTTGGTAACTAATTCTGGTATTGCCATCGACAACTGCAATCGCATTGGGAGAAGCGTTTGCACGCTGAACAAGGCGATGCTCCATTGCGCTTTATGCCAGTCGAAGTAACCGGTGATGATTGTGTTAAGACAGATATCTGACAAAATCTGATGGTCTAATAATGAATAGACCGTTTGAAAATCTTGCTCCAACAGAAAACATACCAGAGCACCAGCCATTTTATAGGGCATCGTGCTCGGTCTACCTTTGTCTATCCCAGGAAGGTAAAACTGTAGCCTACTGAAAGAGTGATCTATGTCCATCCTTGGGGTTTGTTACACCGGATGTGTGGTAAATTGCATTCGTTGACGTCTGCTGGTCACATTCATTTTCTCTGAATGGAAGACGATGGCTTATCAAACTGTTCAGGCCTGTTATACTACTAAGCATTACGTCATTATTCACCTTTTTCGGCTCGCCATGCTATATACAATAAGTCTTACATTGGATCTACATCATTTATACAGAAGGATAACTTACACTTGGGCACACTTTATGCACCCGAAGTCGCATTGGGCATATTGATGTGCACATCTACCTAGGTAGGTATGTATTAGTGGATTAGATAGTCTCTACTACCTACGGGTATGAGTCCTGCGGGTCGTGTCTGATCAAACTATTCAGGCCTTTTATGGTGTTAAACTTTGCATTATCCTCGGCTTAACACATATGTGACAAAACTTACATTGGGGTATATTATTCGTCGCGCTAGACTTAATAGAGAATTGATATCAGCACCACTGTTAGTTACTTCGATTAAGGTATCATTTAGACTGCCATTTTCGCTGACGGTAAATTAACTTAATATGTAGGTCCTAGCGCATATATTGCATACAGTTGCAGCCCTGCAGCATGCAGAACCGGCATAGATTTGCAGAATAATATACCCAATGTAGGTTTTCTTGCATACGGATTTATATCCCATGGTGGAAGGCAAAACTTAGAAAAGGTGACTGAGCGCCTATGGCTAGCCCCCATTTGGCAAGCGACTATACAAGTGGGGGTCAATGCGCTCTAACACATTTGGTGGCGAGAGAATAGTATTCAGACAGGAATATTTAACTAGAGCAATAGGAAGCTTGGAAGTAATATATCCATTTATACAATAGGCAGAAGAGCATTTACGCATAAACTGGTCTTTCCTATACTATCAAATTGTCTCTTGCCCTGCAAAGCATGATGGTCTCTAAAATATCTCGTGAACAGATTCAGTTGCTGATATCTCAAATTAAAGAACCGGCATATGTTCTTTATCCGGACTCTGAAGGGTACGAAAAAAGCCTGGAAAGATGGTCGGCAGTTGGATGTCAACAAGCGGTACGGGCCAATCCACTACATAGGATGCTGAACTTTAACTGATCCGCCATATAGGGAGTCATTGTACGCCCGACAAACACCGAAGATCTTGCAACTACCGTGCGCTTTTCCAGGGACAACCGACTGGACCTGGCAATCAAGGGCGGAGGACATTCCACAGACATCTCTTGCTCGAGTGATGGAGGTATTTTGATCGACCTTGGCGGCATGAGACAGGTTAGTGTCAACTCAATCGACTCAACTGTCACTGCACAGGGTGGAGCACTGTGGAGAGATGTGAACGACACTGCTGCTCAGTTTAATCTGGCCTTAGTTGGCGGCACGGCCAGCCAAACGGGTGTCGGCGGGCTCACTGTCCGCGGGGGATATGGGTATCTGACTCCGAAGTATGGGCTGGTCCTTGACAATCTTCTTTCTGCAAAAGTGGTGACTGCCGAGGGGGAAGTCTTAAATGCATCCAAGGACGACCACTATGACCTATTCTGGGCGATTCGGGGTGCTGGAGCGAATGTCGGGGTCGCAGCGGAATTGAGATTCCAGGCACACACGCAAGCCAACGAGGTCTGGTGCGGCACCGTGATTTTCACGCGTGACAAACTGGCCGAAGTTGTCCAGGCACTCAACGGTGCGCTCATTCATCCACAGGGGAATGCGGCAGCGCAATGTGTCTTCGCTATATCTCCTGATACTGGGGCCCCAGTTATCACCACGATCCTAGTATTCAATGGCCCGGAGGAGGAAGGAAGAATGCATTTCTCTAGCCTTGTTAACTTAGAATGTATCAACACGAACTTGGAAATGAAGCCCTACAAAGTGGCCAACACCATGCTCGACGATGCAATGCCGCCAGGTGGAAGAAAAAAGATCATTGGAGTGAAACTCGTTCCCCCTATTCGGCCTGAATTTGCCTCGAAATTGTTTGAAGAAGTCGGTCGCAAACTCACCACAGAGCCAGAATTGGCCAAAAGTTGTCTCGAGATCGATTATTTTGATCTTTCCAAGGTTTGTGGTGTGCCCGTTGCCGAGACTGCCTTCCCAAGTCGGACCAAGGCTCTAAATGGGGCGCTCATCCTTCAGTGGGTGGATCCGAGCAAGGACCAGGACTTCATAGCATGGGGGGAAACAATCCAGAATATGTGTGAGAGTGAGGTACGACGAGCTGGTCACAAGCCAGATAAACTGGTGTCGACTTTCTTCGGCTACACGCATGGTAAGTACCAGACGGAGAATATAGGGCTTGAGAAATATGTACTGACTTTGCCTTCAGATGACAACATGACACCTGAAGATATGTTCGGAGTTAATGCTGATGCACTGCTCAAGGTGAAAAGAAAATATGACCCGGACAATGTTTTCAACAAATTGAACCCTCTTGAGCTATCTAGATAGAGTTATATAACGTTAGATACTCTCCTAATTTCTATACTAATCTAATATCCTATAGGTTAATAATAAAAGGAGGTCTTATGATGAACTTTAGAAGGGACTATATTAAGTCTAAAGATGGACAATCGATTTTCAAAGTCTATTAGGACATAAAGCTATCCTGGTTGACTTAGCTAAAGGATCTTTAGTATCCTAAACTCGAACCTAAGGATTTAGTATTCGTAACTTCGAGACAATTTCGAGCAGATATTTGCTTTGTTACTCGGAGGATTGACGCTCTTCCCCGAGGCTTTCAAGACCTCGTTTGCATTCTTTGAGACGTTTCGAGACTTCAGATCGCTGCCACTCATTCACGCGTCAGACTTCGTATGTCAGTACTTGCAGAGGAACTAACCGATGGAAACTCTCGCCGCATATTGGAAGCCAATAGTGCTTGCAACCGCGTTCCCAGAGCCTCGATACCATAACTATCGTTTGAGAGGCGGTTCCAAGGAGGCGAAATGCGGAATATCTCTTCTTCGACGTTACGGTTCTTTGAAGAGTCCCAGAGGTCCTTCTGGCCAAGGTTTCGACCGAGGATTACGCATATAGTTGAAAAATCGCGTGGGTGGCCGACTCGCCCGGGAATTACGTTACGAGGGGTTAGGGTAAATGAATCATCATCATCATCAGGTGTAGCTTTGCACTCAAGTTCCTATGAAAGTAACCCTCCCTGATGCATGACCTAGCGCTAATACACGATCATGCATCGCTGAACAGGTTGGCCGAAACCTAGGAGGAAGCCAGATCACCTTTTCACCATCGAAAGCTATCCACTCTCCGTTTTGTAAGGACACTTCCCGTTTTCTCGCTGAAAGACTAGTGTGACAACTAGCAGGCCTTGACCGAGGAAAGAAATTTCCCATATAACTGGTTAGAAAACAACCGTTCTCGGAAAAGTCCAATCCATCAACTCCATCGATATCCCGATCTTTGATGTCATCGACTCTCCAAATCTGCTCTCTCGCACCCGTAATTACACTCCAAATCAAAATCTTCTCATAACCAGAGTAACTGCACACGAGTAGCTTGCCGTCAGATGAGAATTTCACCGTTCTAACTAAATAAGAATCGCCCTTTAAAGTGTGATAGGGCACACCTGTAGCAATGTCCCGGAGCACAACTGTATCATCATAGCCGCACGCCAGTGATTTGCCGTCAGGCGAAAACTTTGCTGTGACAACTGGAGATGAATGATCAAATTTCCGGTACCTTGATCCATTTACGATATTCCAGAGCTGAACTGTGGTGCCATCGGGGCCGTCGGAAAGGGACATAAGTAACTGGCCATCCGGAGAGAATTCCAGCTGCAAAACTGGGGATGTATGGTGAAGAGACTTCTGCAGTGTGCCCATCGCCGTGTCCCAAAGTCGAATTCTATTGTTTTGGCTAGAACTGGATGCTAGAACCTGGCCATCATGCGAGAATTCTATTCCCAAAACCGGGTGTCTATGCCAAAGAGTGTGTTCCAAAGCACCGGTTGCCGTATTCCAAAGCCGAACATTCTTATTCTGTCCAGATATCGATGCGAGAAGCCGGCCATCAACCGAAAATTTGACTGATTGGACGGAATCTAAAATGTCTTGTCGTCTTTGTTGTTGTCGTAGACCGGCCGCGACATCCCAGATTCGGACGGCCTTGTCACTGCAGCCAGATGCTAACAGCTGGCCATTAGGAGAGAAAGCAACGGCATATATCTGCCTTGAACAGCATTCCATGGTACTCTGCAAAGTCCCTGATGCTGAATTCCAGATGCGCAACTTTTTGTCACTCGAGCTGGATGATAATAATTGGCTATCGTGTGAGAAAGCCACTGAATTAACGTCATTTTCTCCCGGATCAGCCTCGAAGGTGCGGTGTATCGCACCTCTTGCCATACCCCAAAGGCGAATACCACCTCCACTAGAGCCGAATGCGAGGAGACGTCCGTCGGGTGAGAATGCCACGGAAGTAACAGACTTCACAAACCCTGCAATCGTCCGCTGTACCGTACCGGTTGCCATTTCCCACAGACAAACTATGCCATTGGCGTTGCCAGATGCTAGCAGCAGTCCATCTGGAGAAAACGCCACGGAAGAAATCCGACCAGTTTCAGTCGGGCCCGCAAGAGTTTGCAGTCGCGTGCCAGTTCCAGTCTCCCATAACTCAATTCTGCTATTATAATGACCGGACGCGAGTAATTGACCATTAGGCGAGAATGCTACCGCCAGAACCCCTGTTTGACAACCCTCCAGTATCCGATATAAAGCGCCAGTAGCTGTATCCCAGAGCCGCACTGTGTGGTCTGTAGAACTGGACGCTACATGTCGGCCATCCGGCGAGAACACCACAGAAGTAACGGTTTCTAAATGGCCTTCCAGAGTTTGATATAACACGCCCGTGTTTGTGTTCCAGAGCCGAATTGTCTTGTCAGGGGAGCCAGACGCTAGGACTTTCCCGTCGGGAGAAAATGCCACCGAATTTATGATATCAAAATGTCCTTCCAAAGCCTGAAGCTCCGGGCTCCAGTTTACCTCAACCCGCGGCAACTGAGAAGGCCAATTAGGGAGATCACTGGCAAAGCGTTTGCGAATGATTGATTTCTCCGGCGCGAATACAAGCCCCGCACAATAAATCTGCAGCGGTGCCTTGGCGGCTATCTGATGGTTGTTCATGATAAAGCGTTTTGCATCATGCAGAAAATCGAACATTGGGGAACCTTGTTCAGACTGACAGAATAAATTAGTACGGATTTAACATGGCGTGCATGAGTCTCACCGTTGATATACTCTGCAGATGACTGATAGACTCAACCGTTTCATGCACGAGACCAAGTAGGCTCATTGCTTCTAGCCAGTGCAGAAAATGGCTCTGGAGGAACAAAAACACATCTTCTATCAGAGGGCCCTGGTTTTGTGTCGCGCACCGTACCAGATGATGGATCCAATATTGACAGGCATATTTGAGTTCCGGGGGAAAGTGTCGCTCAATAGTTTCGGGGTCAACCTCGGCACGTTGGGTTCCATCACTCAAAAGCCCACACATATTCCTCTTGAGGTAATTATGACAAACAAGAAGACATCGAGCTGCCACTTTCCGGTGTGCTTTTGCCTCATCGACCCAGAATGGTGTCTTTTGGCGTAACTCCGGATCCAGTAGAAAGTCACGAAATGAGAGATGGAAGAGTCGTACAGGCAAAGACTCATTATCTGACACACTGAGAACAGAGTGGAGAGCATTTAATCTTGAGGAGATCCGACCTTTTGGAACACCAATAAGCCTTGACAATGTTAAAATCGACAAGGGGGTCTTTAGCGTCACAATAGTGCCGACCACTTGCTGAAATTCGCTGACGATCCGCTTCCTTTCCTTCTCACCTTGATTGGTGAGGAGCCTGTTTAATACAGGAAGATAAGTACCATCCAATTTGGATACATCCAATGCAGATCCGTCATTGCGGTAGGAAAGGATCTCATCCATGCTTTCTTCTGGATCCCAATAAGGGTCCTCAAGTATACGACATATCGTGGCAGCGTAAATGAAAAGTGGGACAGATAACGCCACGAGACTCTGAATTTTTTCACTTCCAGGCCAATCCTGAGAAAGGAAACGATCTTTTCTGATTCTCGATATTCGATAATTCAGAAACAAGGAAATATCGCTCTGGATTGTTGTCTCCGGGACTTTGTGTAGAACATAATCTTGATAGTCGTAGGCATTCATGTCGGAGAAACCGAGACGAATCGACAATTCGGGCCTGCTAGTCAAAAAGACACGCAAACGTAAAGAGCGTAACTCCTTTAAGCAGGGTAGCAATCGAAGGACGAGCCGCATGTCGTTATCTACCTCACACTCGTCTAGTGCATCAATGACTATGACTACCAATGAGATTGGTGGGTCAGGTGAACTAGGTGGCTTATAAGTTAGAAGGGGCTGAAGAAGAATTTTATCAAACTGCTCCGCTAGCGCCTTCGTCGCAATATCCGGATTATCGCGAATCGCCTCCTGGATCACAGGGGCTATTCGGGGGATGCGAATTGCTAATTGCCTAGCAATAGTCGGAAAGAGCTTAACAGTGGTTCCTCGGTCCCCTTCACCCCTTTTGAAGAAGAATGTCGCACCCAGTAAGTTTTTATCTTTCAAATTCCTTGCTACTGTCCGCGAGATGGTAGATTTACCAGTCCCTGCTCTGCCATTTAACCAGAAAATGCACTTTCCGTTTGGTGATGCAGCCCATTCCGCAATCTGACGGAGGAGATCTGTCCGAGTTCCCAGAAGGCAGCAATCTTCATGCTGATGGTTGTATGAGTCGAACTCGGCCCCATGCGCAACCGGTAGCTGATTTAGATCCCAATTGCGGTCGATTCGGACAGTTGTCTTGCTTATACTTGAAATGCTTCTCCTATGAAGGTGTAAGCTTGTTATTTCATAGTGTCTGAATTGATGAAGAAATCTTATACGTTTGATCAATCAGCAAAGATATAGCGAAGGAGGATTTGTATCTCTCAAGATTGGCGATAATGTTTTCCATCTCTACCCGCTTGAGAGGCCAGGTGAGGGACCGAAAGCCCAATCTTCGCATGGCTTTGTGCCTCCGCCCTGTATCTATTTTCTTCATCAGGCCCGTAAGAGTCGATGAGCAGTTCTTTATGTCCCTCTTCAACACATCAGACTGGGAGATCTGCAGGCGGTCTGAACTTTCAGAGAGGCTTTTCAGTTCTTGAAGAGTCTTTTCAAGGCTCGATGCTGACTTTTGGAGAGCCAAGATTTCCTCTCTAGCATCCTTTACTTCAAGGATGTAGCCCCCACAAATTGTGGCAACGCACCCCGCGAGTTGAATGACCCCAAGGACGCTGGCTGCAGAGGAGAATCCATCCATTCGAGCGAATAATAGGCAAAATATGCGTTCTTCCCGGGAACCCTGTGCAGTTCATCACGCTCCAGCGTGGATTTTGTTGAACTGCGAATTTTAGTGTGAAGAGGGGCATGTTGGGAGCGCTGGAAGGACCAGTTATGCAAAAATTGGCCATCTGTCAATCCTGAGTACAGCCGAGCTGCCAGGTCTCGCAAAAGGAAGCGGGAAATAAGGATCGGCCTCCACATTCACTACATAACGTATTTCGCCACCGAACCGCCCACCCCAAAACACCGGGCGGCTTGGTGGTGAAATACGTTAGAAGTAACCGGCCGTTGTAATTCTTTTACGAAAATTACAGGGGCCAGTTACTACTTTCTGGGTAAACCTCTATAATTTTTAAATCATCTGAATCAACGTATTTTTTGGCTTTTTTGAATGTGACATAGAAATATAACTAGTAACTGATTCTAAACCAATTAAATTAATAAAATATTACCTTAGGTATAATAGCGAGAAACGGTGCTAAACATAGGGTAATTAAAAAAAAAAACTAGAACAGGGGTTCAACTTTCCATAGTATCTCGATTTCTCGGCATATTTGCATTGTTTAGGGCCCACTAGGCCCCACAAAAGCCCAGTGGGTTTCTACCTCAGGCTCATAGCCCATCGGCGGGCTCGGGTTGGGCTTTGGGCTTTCTAGGCTCTGCGGAGGTCTACGAACAATGATATGGATGACCGATATTGAGAATACCAACTAAAATGACAAAACCCGCTATTTCAACAATCTATGCGGACATCGATGAGTAACTATATTATGCACTTTTGTGTAGTATGCTTGGTACCAAGTGTTATATGATTTTCTAGGTTAAATACCTTATCTCCATTGTTCGTACCGCTTTCTGTCATTTTCTATCAACAGAAAATAAGTGGGTCTCGGGCCTGCCGATGTATGTTGTACTGTGCAATACTCAATATGACCGTACGGAGTACTCCGTGGTGGGTCAAAATAGGAGTCTTGGAAACTCCACGTACTCCACTCTCTCGACGCAAATTTTGCCGTCCGAACATCGCCATAATGTTCGCCTCTGCTGATGGTGACACCTTTGGCACGGAGTGGATTTCCTGGAGAACAGGGAATCTGTTAAGACACGTCGGCTCAGCTGGGTCTAATTCATTGGTTACAGGGCTCCCCCGCATGCGCCATTCCGAGAAGCTAAGGGATGAAGAGAGATGAACGATGAGAGAAACAATGAAATGGAACCCCAGGAGTCCGAGGAGCGCAATGCGACATTAGACAGACCTTGGATGCCATGGACGTTGCGAATCCCATTCTTGTGTTCGTTGGCCGGATTTTTCCTCCTTTTCGCCATCGCACTCGAAATTCTTCGTCAAGTTTCGGAACGCAATCATGGTCTGGTTATCTACAAAACGATCGATGAGATACCGAAAGTCATCTCCGGGGCCTATATTTATGTCCCTGTCTCCATGTCTGTTCTGGCGGTAACTTTGTGGCAATTTTTCGTTGGCGATGCTCTTCGATTGGAACCTTACTTTCAGTTGGCCAGACTAGAGGGTGCACCGGCAACGGTCCTTTTCACGAATTACAACTTCTCTTTTGGTGTCATGGCTTCTGTCGCCGCAGCCCGCAACCGCCACTGGCTGATTTTCGTGATCTCCACCCTGTCAATCATCTTTCGCATCTTCCTCCCTTCTCTACTATCAGGGCTGGTGGTGTTGACGGAGACATCCGTGGTTCAATCACGTGATGTTTCAAGTTGGCCGAAGTTACTCGACCAAGACACCCAGAAGAAGTGGTTTGCCGCTGAGACTATACGTTACGCCAATACTTCTGCGATGAGCACCACGGATGAGTTCTTTCTGTCTCGTTCCTCTGATTATGCCACGGCGACAGTATCCATGCCTCTTGACGAGAACGAGACCTCGGTCTTATCTACACACCAGACAGTGTATTGGAGCGAGCTAGTCTGCCAGAACGTGTCCCCCAAGAACATCACATGGGTACAACAGACAACTACGAATAAAGAAACAGACCACGATAGCCGCAACCTGACACAGTGGCGCGCAACGCAAATCAAGTTTGCTGCGGGTGAAAAAGATCATCCGTGCACTATCAACTTCGCTCTCAACACGACCACCCCTGGACAGAGTGGTCCGCTCCAACTACAATACTGGGAGCCTCTACGTGCTCAGTCAAGGCTGGGTGAAGATTCGGCATTTCAAACGAGCCATTGTGAAAGCCACGCGCTCCTCGGCTTGCTGATTGATATCAATGATAACCATGAAGATGCCACCAAACATTCATCTAATGCTACAGCCTTTGTGTGCAATGCGATCTATCGGTCAGCTGAGGCTGGGCTTAAGTTCGACGTCAACGCATCAATCACTGAAGCTACAGTTGACTTTTCTAGTCAAAGGGACTTACGAGAAGCGGAATTCTTCCACCCAGGCTTCTATGATCTACTCTACCGCAAAAGCCGCTGGCCCTTAAGTTCCAGATCTCAGACGCAGAATGATATGATGGAAAGTCCTGCCAAATTGGCTCCTGCCGGCCTTGTTGCAAATTTGGACCAAGAGAAGTGGATTGATTTCCTCGAATACCAAAATGAAATAATTGGCTTTTGGAACAACCAATTTATCATCTATTTGAACAAATTTTTTGACGCCAATGATCCAATCTCTATGAAAGCCAGTCAGGTCACAGTCGTCGTTGCCCTTGATGTCTTATCCAAGCCCGCCATTATGTCCGAAGCTTTACTTTTTGCTGCTGCCACTTTGCTCTTCTTGCTCGCAGTTGTATATTCGCGCCGTGCAAATTTCCTTCAAAGCGACCCTGGATCAATAGCAGCACAGTGCGCAATCATTTCAAAGCTGTTCACCACAGATAATCCTCTAACCCAATCGAGTGAAAAATTCAGTCACGCCACCTCCCGGCAACTTCTTCGATGGGCACGGAATTTCCGGTGTGAATGGGCAGACAGCTCAGGTAGCAAGCGGATTAATATAGTCCCACTGTCTCCCAGTATGTCCAATAGGGTGTTGGAACTGCCAGTGGCTCGCAGACGCACAGACCCGAGGCCCCATTTCGTCATTCTGCCATTGTTTTTGGTAGAGTGTACGTTGTTGACTGGCACCCTGGTTATGTATGGATTTGCGCTGAGCGATTTGTCCCTCAAAGACATCAATAACGCTCAGTCAAACAAGCAATTTGTGTTGATGGTATTCTTGCTATGTGGACCGACATTTATATCCTCCTTGGTTAGTTCTCTACTTGCTTCCTTGGTGCGGCATTTGGCTATCATCGAGACCTGGGGACGCCTGCAGCAGGGCATGGCTGGTATAAGACAGTCTTTAGCAAAGAACTATGGCTCACTCCTCCCTATATCTATTCTTTTCCACAATCTCTGTCAAGGGCCTTTGCTGCTCACGGCTGCGTCCATCCTCTGTACACTGGGCTTGGTCCTTACAATTGTGAGCGGCGGTATGTTCGAGCAACAAATGAAGTTGTACAGCCAACCGGCTACCGGTCTAAATGCTGAATACAATGGCACCATGCTTGATTCCCCCACTGCTGATCTGCAATTTGATGGAGTTGGCTTGATGATGATGAGCATGAATAGAGGTACGCCGATTTTGCCTTGGCAAGATGCAACGCACTCGTTTCTTCCCTTGGCCAACACCAATCTGGAAGCCAATCAAGACAGCAATGTCAACTATGCAGCTGTCACGGTAGGAATTGGAGCGAGCCTCCGTTGCCATCAAGTCTCTTTTGATCAGTCATCGATTGAAAATGGCTCCGGAAAGAAAAGCTGGAATTATACAAGCCCATCCGGTCTGGCCTGCGCGGTGGAAGCTCCCAACAGAGCGAAAAGTGGGTTGATCAAAAGATCCATTTCCTATCTTGAACCAATCGACGTTTCTGCCGCAAAAACTGGCTGCCAATCGACAGTATTTGTGCTTGCTCGCTGGGAGACGATGGAATCCTCGCCTATAAACTCGCAAAACTCGGTGGCACTGTCATGTGAACCCTCTATTGGGGCAGACGAGTTCGAAGTCGCATTCGACCAAAAAGGCATAATATTGTCCTCCAAACCCACAACAGCCTCAGCCATGCATGGTGGGCACACAGCGCATAATTTATCACTTTCTACCGTGACGCACTTCAACCGGGCGATCCTAAGCACCATTGGATCATATAGCCCTCTTGAAAATGCGTCGTTTTCCCACTATGACTGGCCCGGTATGATGACCGTACACACTTACGACGGTCTTTATCCTAGCTCGCAGCTCTCTTTTCACCCCAGCTCCTTAATAAGCGCTACACAGTCAACATATCAGCAGATCTTTAGTGCCTACCTCACTTTCAACCGGGACCTCTATTTCGAACGGTACGCAGAATCAGCTGCACCCAGCGTTGAGGGGACCGCTTTGACTAGTCTTTGGGGCTTGTTTCCCTCAGCCGTCTCCATCATCATCGCACTGGTTCTCTTGTCACTAGATATCTTGATAGTGGTCTTTGTCTTTGCTACACGCTCTAGCTATTTCCGTGCTCCTCGAATCCCTGCATCACTCGGATCCTTGATCCCATGGGTTGCCGGGAGCGAGATGATGGCCGATCTTCGAGCAATGCCACTGATAGGGAAGTATGGGTCGCAAGGAGCTTGGGAGCAGCAGGACGATAGGTTTTACCGGTTTGGTCTTTCTCCTGATTTGAATGGTCATAAAAGATGGCTGCTTGACTATCAGCACTCGGGTCTGCAAGAGGTTGGCAGTGAACTTACCCAGGTGCCTATTCACGACCAGTCTTCGTCTGGGCAAATTGTTGGCAGTGAGGCCATTGCTTCACCAAATAATTCACCATGGTCATTTTCAGGAATTATTCAACGTACTGTGAAATCTGCAAGATGGTGGGCAAAAAGATCGCCATTGCCTCCCTAGATAGCTGATCATTTGTGGATTCTATTGGCGTTCTTTAACTCAATTCCATCAAATCAATACACAAGACACCGAAATCAAGGCACCATGAAAAAAAAAATCAAAATTCACATGTTCCAAACCAGATTTTGGAGGGATGTAGCTAAAGAAATTTTATACCTATGTGGTAAGTAGGTAGAGATAGCAAGCAAGGCATATGTCGTCTAGCAACAGCACCCGTAAAATTCAAAGCAGAGAAGACCGGCGCAGCTTTGTTAGAAATATCATCCGCATGATACTTGAGCTCGATGAAACGCGTCGCGTTATGAGAAACTTACACCACGAAGATTCATTTCTGCGGATCCTTGAACACCCTAAAGAGAGTGATGATCTTTGGAATCGTTCAAAAATCAATATTGCGCATGGGCTGGATACTAACTTCTTTCTTGGCACCAAAACGACCTGTGGAAGGTGTGCTTCGGGACTGGTCAGCTACTACATTTCCATGCTTCGGGGGTTTGGGCTCGCATTCAGTTCCTTGGGGCTCTTATCAAAGTGTTTGAACTCTCAGTGTCACATGCTCCATAGTAGTAGTAGGCTAGCTCTCTCTCTCTTTCCTCCTACAACTAAGCGCCACAATACCACACATGCCTTTATGACCTCCGCATATCTCAACACAAGGAGACCAAACCAAGTAAACATGTTGATGTCTTTGATGTGATATTTCAAAAACGGAGGACTCTGGTGTTCGATATATGAAAGAGTCGTTGCGTTGTGAAGATAACATACGGGTTACCTGGAACTATTTATCTATCTTCAGATGGAGGAACATATAAAATCAAGGAGCTGAATTGTGGATCTTGCGCACCAAAAGATAGATAAAAACGGCTTTACCCGACGAGCAATATCGGAGAGGCTTTAGAAGAATATGTCCGCACACAATTGAATTGGTTGTTGCCTATCTAGCACGGTGGCGGCAGAAGAAACTAGGCTACAATGTTCGACAAGAATCATTTAATTGAGATCTGCTAGTGATAGTGCTGAGTGGGAACCATACTTGATTTTCAATGACTTGCAATGATTTGCTCTTTTCATTCTGTCAATGGCAAAGAGACCTTTTCAGGGTTCTAGATTCTCGATGCCAATTTTGTCGAAGTACGTGTCCGGAACCCCTTTGGATCGATCTAACGGTACTTACATATCGAGATGTTTAAGATACATTGAGGTTATGCTGGTCTCTGGGGTCCAATGTGCCACGACTTATCTCATTCGAGTGAGCACTAGTAAATTTCCTACCTAGGTCGACATCTACGTTTCGAGATATTTCTCATCCAATGGAACGTAGCTGAATAAAAATTCCCTGTGTAGGGCGTAGGGCTCGGTGCAAAACCCTAATTCGGGTGTGTGGTACCTCTAGGCTGACATATTGCTCAATGCGTATGGCTACTGGGTAGTTAATGAAGTAGGCCCCACCGATTGGCCTGAATGGACCCGCTTCTTTTATGTAGATGTGGGCTACCGCTACCTGGGCAGTATCAACTCCGAACAGTTGCTGAAGAAGTAGGAAAGATTTCGTGTATTGAAGCTCGAATTATCAGCTAAAAAGAACAGCACCCGCCATACACAGGAACCAAGCTTACCCGGCCTTCGGAACTATGAATATCATGAACTTTTGGAGATAATTAACTCTCTGGTGAGTTAGCATTGAGTTCTCGATTGTTCTATATATCCGCTCTGAGGAGTGCGGGAACGCAGGATTATCCTGGTTTTAATTGACGAGGTTTCAATCCTCATATCTATGACGATATAAGGCCCCATCATCATAATGTCTAAATGCAACATTGTCTCATGTCAAGCTACTAACCACCTCTCACTCCAAACTGCGAATAGATTGCATAGAAATACGCCCTATCTTACGATTTGCTCTAGTCCAATACCACGAGTTTCAGTTTTCGGCCAGCATCAGCCACCCCTTGAGGGTTGAACCATATCGGCAATTACTCGGTTCTTCATATTTTTGATCCAGATTGAGGACCGGCATAGCTCTGCCAAGCTCTTTTTGTTTCATCCAGCTCCTCCACTCACTATTATCAATATCTTTTTTGGAATTCCGCACTTGGAACTTCTCGTGCTTGGTAAGATAAAATCTCTGGCCTGTCTGTCTCCGAGAGGTATAGAACAATTCAATACTTCCATTCGACGATAAACAGCGGTACGTAGTCTAAGGCAACTTCCAAATGCGATGAATGTAGTTAATCGTAGCCGGCTGCCATCTACAAGTCTGAGGATTCAAGCACATACAAGAAATTGGAACAGGAATTACACTAAACGCTAAAGTGATTTGGGTGGATATTGCGTTTAATAGCGGTATCATTTTGAGACCAAAGCCTGAACAAACGGCTGGAGCCTAGTACCTTTAAGGGGCAAGAGGAGTTCTATAAATCGTTCACCAGCCGGGGTTACATGCAGTACCAAAGCCGTGTAAGCCCAAAGCCCAAACCAATCAATTTTGTCATTTGGCTAGCATTTTAACATGCGACTCATTATTTTCTTGAACTGGGTAGCTGCCGCTGCCTATGCATCCCGTGAGATTTCCTCTTCCCATAAAAGTGTTCGTCATCTCTAACATTCTGCTGTTTAAAAATAGAGCCTGCCAATCCCAAGCTGACTGTCAACCCAGATATGTCGGAGCTAGTCGGTCGAGCCCTCCCCAACGCCCCAGATGGCTATGCTCCAGTCGAAGTCAATTGCCCATCCCCGCGGCCGCATGTGCGCAGTGCTGCCAATCTGTCCTCAGATGAGCAGGATTGGCTTAAGCTACGACAGAAGACGACCCATCAAGCTATGAAGGACTGGTTCGGTCACGTTCGTATAAGCGATTTTGACACAGTCGCGTATCTCAATGATCACGCGAACAAACCCGCGAATCTGCCCAACATTGGCATTGCTGTTTCTGGCGGAGGATATCGCGCTTTGATGAACGGTGCTGGTGCTTTGAAGGCCTTTGATAGTCGCACTGAAAACTCTACAGCATCAGGTCAGCTTGGTGGCTTGCTTCAATCTTCCACATACCTGGCTGGTCTCAGTGGCGGCGGTTGGTTACTGGGCTCGCTCTATATGAACAACTTCACCTCTGTCTCTTCTTTGCAGACCAATACCCTCGGTACTCCATGGCAGTTCTCCAACTCCATTTTGGAAGGTCCAGATGATGGCGGCGCTCTCCTGTCTTCTGCAGTGAAATACTACGAGCAGCTCTCATCAGCTGTTAGCGCAAAAGGAAATGCTGGTTTTCCGACCAGCTTGACAGATCTCTGGTGAGATACCACCCCGAACCCACCTCCAACCCACCATAATGCATCTGGCTAACAATTGGCACTGTACTACTATAGGGGCCGTATGCTGTCATACCAGCTCATCCATGCCTCAGAGGGAGGTATCAATTACACTTGGAGCTCAATCGCAGCTACGGAAAGCTTTCGACAAGCCGAGATGCCCATGCCAATCCTTATCGCAGACGGCCGCAACCCCGGAGAGAAAGTCGTCGGAGGCAACTCAACGATCTATGAATTCAACCCATGGGAGTTTGGCTCTTTCGATCCTACCGTCTTTGGATTCGCTCCCTTGCAGTATTTAGGCTCCACCTTTGAGAAGGGTGTCGTGCCACCGCATGAAAAATGTATCCGAGGGTACGACAGCGCCAGCTTCATTATGGGAACTTCATCCAGCCTCTTTAATCAGTTCTTGCTCAACCTCAACTCCACTGATCTCGGCAATACAGCAAAGAAGATGATCCGCGAGGTTCTTGGCAGTTTTGACGAGGAAGCATTTGACATTGCTAATTACACCAACCCCTTCTACCATGCATCTACTGGGACGACCCTCACCAAAGATCCTTATCTCGCCATCGTCGATGGGGGCGAAGACTTACAAAACATCCCTCTCCATCCCATGATTCAACCAGAGAGAAAATTGGACGTCGTTTTCGCCATCGACTCCTCTGCCGATACCAACAACTGGCCCGACGGCACCTCTCTCGTCGCGACCTACGAGCGCAGCCTCGAGGGTAGAATAAACAACGGCACCGGGTTTCCCGCCATCCCAGACCGAAACACATTTTTGAACCTTGGTCTCAATAACCGTCCAACCTTCTTCGGCTGTGATACCTCCAATCTCACCGGCACTCAGTCAAACTCACCACTCGTTGTGTATATCCCTAACTCACCCTACGTCATAAATTCCAATATCTCGACATTCAAGATGAGCCACAATGATACCCAGCGCGATGCATTGATTCTAAACGGGTATAACGTTGCAACTATGGGCAATGGAACCCGAGATTCAGAGTGGTCGACTTGTGTGGGTTGTGCTGTGTTGTCCAGATCGCTAGGGCGCACAAACACCAGCACGCCAGCTGCTTGCAGTAAATGCTTTGAACGCTACTGTTGGAATGGAACAACCGATAGCCGTGTACCCTCTGCTTACGAGCCGAAGCTGATTCTAGAGCAAGTCAATTTGACTAGTCAGGCAGGACTGCTCAATTTTTCTCTCATTTGGTGCTACACATCTATTTTGGTTACATTGTGGATGACTTCGCTCTAAATGTCGATTGAAGATCCGACGTGATAAAGCAAGGTTAGAGTGATAAATTGAGACTGGAGAGGTGAAAATGGAGGGGAAGAGAAGGGTACGGGTAGCCTTTTTTGAGTTGTGATAGGAAATGTACCTTCTGCTGCTATACGGTGAATATATTCGCCCTAAGTGCCTTGGATAGAGCGGCGAGCCGCCCATGCTAGAACCGTCGGCGCTAGGTGATCACTCGCATACAAAGACTGTTGTATTTTTTGGTTCTTTTTTTCGAACACCAGTCTCTTTTATCATTCAAGACCATTTGGTGCTATCCTAAACCCGCATTGTGGGTGGGTGTGTAGGACTCTTTTCATAATACTAGGGTAATGGGACTGTAATTCAATTAGTCCCATGGAGTTGGCAAGTTCTATCTAGGAACTAGCGAGAAGGCATTGTTTCTTAGGATAATACTGTCGCTTCCTGCTAGCTTATCGTAGGAGGTAAGGCCTTAGCAAGGCATGCTACTAGATAAGATTCTGTTAGGATCGTATCCTTTCTACCTCAGCCCAAGAAGTCTGTCAATGTGGTTCCGCCAAGAATATACTAACTCTTGCGAGCGGGTCGTATTGCATTGCATATACCATCCATATGAGCATGTAATTGATAACTACTATAAAATACAGTGATCGGCTAGCATAAAACAAGGATATTACATTGGATTCTACATTGACAGACTTATTCCGGGGGGTGGTATTGGATAATACTAGAGACCAGTTAACTAACGTATTTCACATACGAGTCGCCCACTCCAAAACACATAGTAAATGCGGTTGAAAATACTATAATATCGAGTTTTTATTTCTGAGGACGTAGTCACTTTGCTTTGTAATTTCCTAAGTGCTACAGTGAAGCCATCTATCAACCTTATACCAACCTAACAAGCTGTGGACTTTTGGAGGGCGAAACCCTCCCCTTCCAAGACTGAAAGTGCACCCCCGACAAGATGAAAGCTCCCAGTAACGAAAATCATTGTCTTATCCACATTACAGGCAATATTTTTTGCATATTCTATGGCTTCTTCGATAGATTCCAGTGCTGCTATCTCTGTGATTGGATCCAATTGATGCCAAAGCTCGGCCAAGCACCTTTGTAAGCTCAGGCTTTTGAGTTCCTTTGGATCGACATTCCGGTTGACAAAGTCTGTAAATAATATTCTGTTTTAGTATTCTTTCTTGAGAGCTGACCCAGTGCGTTGGGTGCATCTTACCGGCTTTGTAGGCGTTGTCTTTATAGGTTACATTCGTACAGAACAGCGCATACTGAAAATTCAAGTTGCAATTGTTGTATGCCTCACTATGCACGGTCCGAAGAAGCATCTCAGCATCTCTTTTAGACTGCTGGTTGAATATGAGCACCCTTGGTGTGTCACTAGTCCGATAAGTGTCAGACGAGGCCTGTTAGAATGAGGAAATGGCGAGAGAGTTCATACCTTGACTGGACTGACTGTGGTCTTGAGACGCGCGCAAACCATGAGGTCGCTAATTTTAGGCTGTCTTCTGTATGTGCACCATCAAGATGCCAAATTTGTTTTTCGGTTGTAATAGTATCACATCTTCCTCTCCAAACTATGTTCTCGAGACCTTGGATAAATTGTTCAGGGAGCCTTTCAAGGCCAAAGTCTACTGGAACTTTGAGTTTGTCCAACAAGGAAAGGGAAAGTCTAATAGCGAGAGAGGCATTTGTCCTTTGAAAATCTTCCGCTGGGTTGAGGGCAATATCAAAAAGAGCAGGATGAATTGCAATGGTAACGAGGTTGACTTCCTTTTCTTTCGCTCTCTGGTGTAGGACCTCCATAGCGTCAGGCACTTGAGGAACGGTAAAGGCGGGTGAGCCAGTCTTGAAGATTCCCGCCTTATGCCAGGCTATCTTGTCGATCGTATCGCCGAGAGCAGCCACATGGTCAATCCCGAGGGTCGTGATACCAGTCACTGATGGCTGTGGAATGACATTTGTTGAGTCTAGCTCACCTCCCACTCCGACTTCAAAGACAGCCGCATCAACACCTTCTCTCATGAAGATATGAAATGCCATGAGGGTGAGGAATCTGAAGTAGGAGGGTTTACAAGCCGGATCAATACCTTCTCTAACTGCACTCGATTCGAGGGCATCCCAGACTTCAAAAAAGTACTTGGTAAATTGCTCCTCTGAAATCGGAATGGAGTTAATTCGAATTCTCTCCCTAACCATCTCCAGATGAGGGGAGGTATAGAGTCCAATTTTACGGGGAACCCCAACCGATTTTTGGTAGTTCTGAAGGATAGAATTGACAAAGGCACACGTTGTGCCTTTTCCCTTTGTCCCCGCAACATGAACGACATTTAGACGATTTAGGTCGTTGATCTGCGGGGCAAAGTCAGCTAGACAAACTCGACGAAAAAGGGATGGAATAGGTTCTGGAGTCAACCGACATCGTATCCAATACGGCATATCCATTTTCTCATCTGTTCCACGGCGCTGCTAGCCGGCTTTTGACCAAGACGCTTTCTTTCCTCCAGCACTTTGTATCCCGACTGGGTGGAATTCAGTTTTTCCACTGCGTCCTAGTCATTGTAAGTACCTGTTTCTATTTGCAGAAGCAGGAAACTCCTACATGATAGGTCGATATTTCCAATGTATCTAACATTATTCGACAGCAGGAATCATTTGAATTTTGCGAAAGGTTTTTGAGAACAATTTGATCGGGGGCTGCTTATATTCGAGTATGTGAGTACATGAGTACATGGGGGTAACCAATCTGCAAAGTGGAACTGGCTATTAATTACACACCGTCCCTTCGTTCCAATACGTAAAACCACTCGTACAGATTCTATGCAGGAAAATGCCCGAAGAGGGGTTCGTGCGGGTTCATTTCCCCGGTCTCGAATCAGTGGGCTTTTTCCATTCACCCTTCAACATTGCGCTTCTCAGTCACTGGACGGATTAAGGATTGAAAAGTGACAGAAATAAATCATCTTGATGGCTGTGCATCCTTTTCCATTTGATATCTACATTGAGAGGATCAGTATGTTTTTTTTTTCCCTCACTTATTGATCATGACTTTATGCTGGTTCCGTTCTCTGTCTATGGCAACGGGGACGATTAATCATATGCAGACATTACCCAATACAAGGTAATCACCTGGGCAAGCGTGCCGTCTGCACCTTATTGATTTTCAGCATCGAGGTTTTCCGATTCTCCGTGGAAACAAGAATTCTCTCTCTGTTGGGGGACAGAATGTGGTCGAATGGCTGTGGGGGTCTTGTCATAGAGACTTAGTACAGGTGATCTAATATGTGCATATACTAGATTGCAATTTTCTTCTATGCTCCTACACAGCTCCCACACACAATCGCCACCTTGTAGGCATGACTCACCGCCTACGAGCCGAATACTGAAATTGCATCAAAAGCATCAGCTTGCTGTTCGATACAATAGCAGGAGGGCGCTCGTAAAAGAAAGGCCACATATCCTTTACCGACATGCTCATGCCTGCGTAAAAATGAGGGTCCATGAAAAATGACATGTCCATTCTCATCCAGTCAACATCCGAACAGCCTTCAATAACCTCCACTTGATTCTGCGACTGTTCAAGATTCTTTTGTGCGGCAAGGTTAAGATTACCAGGGTGGTCTTCACTCAACGAAAAGCCATCGACAAAGTTGGCATTGCCTGAACTTTTAGTAGAACTACAGCTGCGCAATGCATCCTCGTCAATTTCGAAGAAGAATCGGTATCTTGCAACGGGCTCATTGTCATATAGAAGCATCCGATCAGCGCGTGGGTTCTCAGCCGAGAAGCTATCAGCCACCCATTCTTGGAAGTGGGTCCGTAGTTCCTCCTTGGAAGCTCCATCGAACTTTGCCTTGTCTTCGATGAAGATAAATTCGAGTTTGTCGAACATGGCTTCATTGATTTCTAATCGGGGGTCAAGGTTGATGATTGAGCGCACTGAGATATTGACCTTTTGCTTAAAGATATCCCAGGCTTCGTCGTCTTTATATGTGGTCCGGTAGAAAACCCAGCCCCATTTTTCGATTCTTCGATCTTTAAGCTCATACAGTATGGCTTCCGATGAAATCCATTCATTCCTCTGAGTAGGAGATGAATGAAAGCTTCGTCGTGATGTTGAAGGCAAAGGGAAATCGGGGAGGCATAATCTGCTTTGGAACGAAACAGCGCGTGGATTGGAGTGTACAGAAAGAAATAGGCGAGCGGAAGGTAGATATGCAGGCGAAAGCCTAGTAATAAACCCTCTCATCGCCATCGAGTATAAAATCCTGTAATTATTTGCGTTGTTGGGATGCAGTTGATGGAAATATAGGGGATACAGTACTGCGCTAAACGGGAACTGCCATGGTGTCGGCCCCCTGGGGCCGGATTTTCATCCACTAGTCCACATCCGCTCTAGCAAAGGCTTGATCGGGATATGTTCGGCTATAATAGGCACATAACTAATTACGCAAAAAGCGATTCCGAGAACAAATCGGAAGACAACATGTGGAGTGGTGAAAGTGAGTTCGAGCGGACTTGCTCTGAATACTTGTTATTCCATAAGTTATCAAAACAGAAAACATTTGACGAAAACACAAGAACACAAAAACAGAGTCCAATTGTTTACAAGTACGCAAGCTCAAAAAAATCATTCTCTATTTCAAGGACAAGCATCAAGCTGAGAAGTGCTTGTATCCTATGTCCTTGACAAAGGTCTGCTGCCAAGGACCCTGAAACTTGTGCTCAGCAAGCTCGGCGTAAAATCTCCCGTGTGCCTCTCCATTAAGCTCAGAATATGCAGGAGCTCCATCGGCCTTTCGCTCATCTGCATAATAGAATCTGCCTTGCGTCAGTTTCGAAACCGTTATAACCGAAAAAGAAAACACTTACTTGAAGCCTCGATTAGAGTACGCGGCAGCAGCGGAGCGGATGATATGGGCCGTTGCGGATTTACCCACACCAAGATCTAGAAGGCTTGCAATAGGGGTCGAGTTGAGTATATTACCAGTGTAGATAAATGTCTTAGACCTATAGTCAGGGAGTTGCTCGAAGCTTAAAGCCGCCTGTTGTGCAGCGACAAACGCACTGGTCGTGTTTATTTGGAAGTCCCGGTTGAAGTCAGCCAATGGAAGAGAGAGTGGGTTTTCTGGATTGTTTGAAGTTGTCGCAGCAGCTTCCAGGATGTCAGCGGGTTTTCAGTAAATAGCTTCTATGAGGAACATGCTTACCATTGTAAACAACAACACTGGGCAGACCAAGGGAAGCTTTAACTTTCGAAAAGATGTCCTTCACAGAATGAGGATCCGATAGGTCGGCAGAAATGTAGACTTGGTCCTCATTGCTATCTTCTTCCTTAAGGCTTCGAGACGCCAGGGCAACTTTGTAGCCCTTCCCAGCAAAGGCCCGAGCCACGTGCTGCCCGATATTGGGACCGGATCCAAGAATGAGAATAACTGGAGATGCGTTGGCCATACTTGAGTTTGTATAAATTGATAAAATAAAACCAATATTGAGGAAGACTTAAGTCTTATTATATTGGCTTCAATAATCAAACAGCAGTTGCGTATTATCAATCCGTGTGTTTACCTTGTTTGCTTGAACTTTATCATGATCCCCTTTGGGGCTGACCTTGTGTCCGAGCGAATTGGTTGTGTTTGCATTATATGCAGGTAGTTTGTGGTGGTGTATAGTGTAACGATCAATCCGCGTGTTTACCTTGTTTGCTTGAACTTTATCATGATCCCCTTTGGGGCTGACCTTGTGTCCGAGCGAATTGATTGTGTTTGCATCATATGCAGGTAGTTTGTGGTGTATAGTGTAACGACCAATCAACGTCGATGACAAATTGCAGATGATAAATCTCCCCGAACCCCCGAGGCTTGGTAATCATTCTGGCTCATCTGGGCATCGTAAGTGCTTATGGCTCGGCGAATAATGACGTGAATAATCGGGTTGGAATCCTCCGCATTTACCAGAGTCATTATATATTTTAGGTATAATTTAAAGACCAAATGGCCTTCTATATATTGGACTGTAGATAGTGATAGTTTATATACTCAGGAAATATCTTGTTAACATTAGTTTTCATCAATCACCACACAACTATGCGCTCAAATATTTTGATCACCGGTGCCGCCGGCTACATGTAAGGTTTATCTTACGGGTGTACCTATACAAATCTGACCTTTCTTGTATAGAGGAGGTTCCATAGTCGCAGACTTTCTGGCAAGAAAGACCCCATCAATTGATGTGGATCGGCTTATTGCTGCGGTTAGATCCGAAGATCAACTTGATTCCTTATCGAATTTGGGCGTCCGTGTTATTCAGTTGGATCTGACGGACGAAGATACTGTGGTCAAAAGCGTGCTATCCCATAACAGTATGAACCTTCTCCAACTGTCTTCATGCCCGAGAAGAATTCACCAACAGCTCCCCAGTTAGCATCGTTATTCACACGGCAAGCTCTATAAATCCAACTCTAGCGCTGCACTTGATCACCGCCTTGAGCAAACAGAGTGAGGTGAGTGGGGAAAAAACATATTTCATCCACGTAAGTACCATATAATCTTGTTGTTTATATGACCAATGAATGAATCGAATTCCCTGGGGATAGACTTCGGGATTAGGTGCATTCTTTGAAAATACCGGTTGGCCAGCAGGACCGTTTAAAGACACAGATGCCGTGTTCGATACTGAGAAGAAATTGGCCGACTCCTCCCCTCTCCGAAAGGTAAGGATATGGTCTGCTTACATGGATAATATCCTTATAACGTTGGTTCTCACACCAAACAGACAGACGTGGCTGTTATCGAGCATGCCGAAACACGAGGAGTAGACTGTTTTGTTGTTGTACCTTCGCTAGTTTGTGAGTGCCACAGGTCAAACAATAACATTACCCCCAGAAAAGGCCAACGCTGACAATCCTTGTTAGATGGGAAGGGAAGCGGTGAATGGAATAAGCTGTCCGTAGTACTGCCCGTCTATGTCCAGGCCAGCATCTCGGGTCGGGCCGTTTATAAATTCCCCGAAGACACGGTAGGAGATGGGCTTCTCCGGAGGCTCTCGGGTTGTCCATGCGATTGGCTAATAAATATTACAGAAAGTCTCAAGCGTGCACATTTCTGATTTGACCACCCTCTACGGACGGATTATCGAGAACATCCTCCAGGGAGAGCCGCTTCCAACTGGTAGAGAAGGATATTACTTCGCACTGGCCCATTATCTCCATTTAGGAGAAGTCCTGGACCACTTAGCTATACAGCTAAAGGCTCGTGATCTGATAACAGATTCAAAGACAAAGATTTATCTCAATGATGAGGCTGCCGCAAGCTCCCTAGGCATTCCAGTGCCATTTGTGCGACCCTTGTGGAATTCGGGGTAGGTGTTGCACCCATTCCATGTTGAGGCATCTTTATCTGATTCGGAATGTAGCGACAACATCATTGCTGAGATTCCGCATAGGATCGGGTGGAGACCGATGTGGAACAAGGAACGATTTCTCCAAAACATCGATGACGAGATCCAAGCTGTAGTAGAGCATGGAAAGGCGAAGAGCAGTCTCATTGATTCCTTGTTTGAATTCGCTGCAAGGACTTGACTCGGAAAAGTTCCCACTTGAACACTATGAGCAAGACATCTTTACATGACTACTTTCACGGAACGAGTCATCCAGAGGTGGCGGCCGGGTGGGCTCGGGCCAAGGGCCAGCGTTCTGGACAGCCATATTTCAATGCAGCCGCTGTGGATGCATTGACAAGTTGTATTGGGCATACGACACTGGCATCCTGCCAGTGGAGTTGACGTAGGAGGAGAGCAACAGATTATCATCATTCTAAGTCCTGCAGTGGAGACTTCATGTACCAACACATCGATTGCGTTGGTAAGAGAAGGTTTTAACAAATCGATATAGCTTTGACTTGAGTCGTTGGTATTCCTGAGTTGTCTGAAAATCTCTAGAAGCTCTTGGAGTAGCGAGTTGAATGGAGCACCTGACCCTCGATTGCTGTAGAGAAATTCAGCGGAGAGCAACAATGGAGGTCTTTATACGCCCATCTCCTCAGCCGACCTCCTCATCATCCATGCTCTACACCACCACGATTATCAATACACGTAGTCATTCCATAATAGCCAAACCTATATAGTCGCTCTATTTTAATCGAGATAGCTTGTTTCCTTTCGTTGTTTCATATGGTAGTGTTTATCCGAGTTAGTGTGGTGAAGTATCTCTCTCGGATTTTTTTCATCCGAATCCTTTATGGTCTTGGAGATGACAAATATTCCCATCATATCATATTAGTCTCTGAAGCACTTATATCTCCATACACGAAAGACAAAGGCTCTGCGTCGTGCTGCGATTCCTACGAAACAGCCTAGGATAATTAAAATGGAAGTATTTATAGCACGATAAAAGCGTATAATTAGAAACAATAATCTGAAAGTTATATTTCAAAAAACGTATCGGAAGTTTGGGTTCTGTCAACTGGTTAGTAAAGCCGACCAAACCACAGAAAGGAAAACGACGGTCACTAACCTCGAAATCGGTCAGATCTTCCCCAGCACTCTGATCAGCAGATGACTCTATCTGTCCCACAGCAGCGGCAGCGGCATCTCGCTGCTTGTTTCTGCGAGCCAGCATAAAGCGCAGCAAAACAGCCAAAGCTGCTTGCGCAGACGAGCATGCCAGGATGAGCTTGACTCCAGTCTGGTATATGGGCGCTTCCTTTGCAAGAAACGCGTGGGGCCCAATGATATTGCCGGCACAGTATGCGATAAACACCAAGGCAACACTGGTTGTACGTTTCGTATAACCACCAAGGTTTGTCGCCGGCATCTGTATAGCCAGTACCAAAGAGCAGACATAGGCGCCAATGATATAATAGCCAAACAAAACGCCGACCTTGTACGTCTTAT